CCTGGATTGGCAGGTTTGTTAAATTCCAAATCAAAATAAAGCTTGCACACAGCATTTTCAGGAATAACTTCATAGCAGTGTAAGAGATTTTTTCTAAATTGAATAATTCAACATTGTTAGATTGATATCTTAGACCTTTATTAACTGATTGATTGAGACCAAGTCAGCTCTGTTGCCCAGGCTGGACTGCAGTGATGTTATCACAGTTCACTGCAACCTCCTCCTCCCGGATGCAAGTGATTCTCCCACCTCAGCCTCTCAAGTAGCTGGAATTACAGGCATGCGCCACCACGTCTGGCTAATTTTTGCATTTTTAATAGAGACAGGGTTTATGTCATGTTGGCCAGGCTGGTCTTAAACTCCTGGCCTCAATGATCCACCTGCCCCAGCCTTCCAAAGTGCTGGGATTACAGGCATGAGCCACCACAGCCAGCCTCTAACTTATACCTGTTAAATCATGGAAGTTTATCTTTTGCAAGTACCACGTTAACTGTGCTTTCACTACATACAAGCGTGAAATAAGAACATGATAAAGTCAACTGTTCACCATAGCTTTATGGCTGATAGTATCAAGGGTTTCCATCAAGCAAAATGTAACAATTATATCATGTAACATTATTTAACTGGAAAATATAGTCAATCTTACAGTATTATTTATTCACAGATGATTCTGATATTGTGTAACACCTCTGTATTTGTTTTTAGTGTCAACCATGAAACAGATTTTCTTTGAAAATCTGAACATTCTTTGAAAAAAGAATGTTCTTTTCAGGATTCCATATTCTTGGGATTCCATGAATTTTCCATGAGAATTTTTAAATTCTGTGTTTTCATTGGAAGATAATATTTTAAAAATAGTTTAAAAAATTCTGAATCACTTTGATAAGCTTTCAGCGCTCATGTTTGCAGTTACATTCTTGCCGGAATTAAGAGAAATGACTTTGACATGGGTAAAACAGGAAGAGATGCTGACTTAATTTACAAATGGTAATTTGGGCTAAGTGACGTTCAGATGGCATCCTATACAAATTAAGTGCTTGTAGTAATTTGAAGAGGGAGAAGTTATGGGAAAATTGTATCATCAGGGGGCACAGGTAGTGGAGGAACTGAACTGAACTGAACACACACACACACACACACACACACACACACACACACCCTGTAGCAGTTGAAGAGGGAGAAGTTACGGGAAAATTGTATCATCGGGGGCACAGGTAGTGGAGGAACTGAACACACACACACACACACACACACCCTGTAGCAGTCAGTACCATATTTACATTGCAAGATGAGACTGAGTTTCAGCAAAACATCTGTCACGTTATCTTAATGATTTTAATTCAACTCTAATTGGTGTTGCATGTATATAAACATAAATAAATCCAGTATCATATTTGAAGCTACTTAGCAACATTTGAATAAAAGTATTTTAAATCAATATAGGGCATGCATAGCAATTTACTCTCCTTTTCCATATATTACACAAGTCTGAGAAATACTTGAATAGATCACTCAGTTAAAATAATAGTCTGGGTGCAGTGGCTCATGCCTGTAATCCCAGCACTTTGGGAGGCCCAGGTGGGTGGATCATCTGAGGCCAGGAGTTCAAGACCAGCCTGGACAACATGGTGAAACCCCGTCTCTACCAAAAATATAAAAATGAGCCGGGCATAGTGGCAAGCACCTGTAATCCCAGCTAGTTGGGAAGCTGAGGCAGCAGAATCACTCGAACCTGGGAAGTGGTGGTTGCAGTGAGCAGAGACCATGCCACTGCACTCCAGTCTGGGCAACAAGAGTGAAACTCCATCTCAAAAAAATAAAAAATAAATAAATAACGCTAATAACAATTTAAAATAGTCATAATAAAGTCAAGATAAAGCAGATATTTATTACTAGGTCAATAACATAAATATTCCTTTATGATTAATGGTACAATTTAATACCTGTTTGCAAAAGAGAAATTTCAAAACTCCCTTTAGGTACACACATACATTCGTGTATGTGATTATTTTCTCCCAGCACCTCATGAGTTACTCCAGCATTGCTATGACAAGAGAACTCCAGAATTCAATTCTAATAGCAAAGGAGCAACTAATCGTGTGGTCAAGAACTGTGGAAGCCAATTCAGCCTGAACTAATTTCGCCAAAATTACTAGGCAAAGGAAATGGAACTCTAGCTTAATGTGCGGTTCTGCTGCATGCTACCTACCTGGATTTATAGTAAAACCAAAGTTCAGCATAGGTTGTCACAAGGTAAGTACGCTGTCCATCTCCCACTTTGCATTCCAAAGCAAATACATGAACATCCTACATAAATCAAAAAAGAATTCAGAAGAATTCACAAAATGCAAACCTAAATTCAACCGTAGTTGCTCAGTGTTCACAAAGAATTTTTCATTCAAGTCCTCAGAAACTGGAATTTGAACATCTATATTATTACAAACAAGACAAATAGTCACTAGGTTTATGCCATTCAAAATCTAATTATTTATACCTATTTTTAGTCATTCATATAAAAGGTGAAAACAATTAGAATAGGCAGACCAGAGAAAAAAGGAGAAAAGAACACTCTGAAAAATATTACTCTAGTTTGACTCCCTATGATAGTTTTATTTCTTGGTTTATGAAATTAAACTTATTTTTCAAAACTACTTATTACTATAAATGATTTGGGCTAAAATTAATTAGTAAATTCCCTAGTATCTATAAAAATGTATGTAGAACCTTTTTTCTTTTTCTTTTTTTGAGACAGAGTCTCGCTCTGTCGCCCAGGCTAGAGTGCAGTGGTGCAATCTTGGCTCACTGCAACCTCCACCTCCATCAAGTGATTCTCCTGCCTCTGCCTCCCAAGTAGCGGGGATTACAGGTGCCTGCCACCACACCTGACTAATTTTTTGTATTTTTCGTAAAGATAAGGTTTCACCATGTTGGCCAGGCTGGTCTCAAACTCCTAACCTCAAGTCATCCACCTGCCTCAGCCTCCCAAAGTGCTAAGATTAGGCACTGAGCCACTGTGCCCAGTCAGAAAAATTTTTTTAAAGGTTTAGTACTGTGGTAGTGGTTTAAATATGATTGTTCATGCTTCCTGCCATAAAGTTTCTTCTAATAGAGGAATACATCCGCCAGTTCTTTTGTTTCCTGCTGAGCGTATTTTTCTTTTCATGTGTGAAAAATCACAGGACTCAGTTGTTTAACCCTAATAAAAATATTTTTGAAATAAATGTTATAGACTGATGATTAGCAAGTCCAGCAAGCATACACCCCGATCTATATATTTTTAAAATTCTAGTTTAAATGAATCTGTCGGTATTTTAATTTCTGCTGCTTGAATTAGGTTTACACAAAATGACTAAAAAAGGCATTTCTTAAACCATTCTGATGAGATTTGAGTAAGTATATCCTTATTAGAGAAAGAGAGGTCCTTCTAAAACTTCTAGCACTTGGAGCTTTTACACAGCATCAGTGATCAGACTCAGTACATTTATGCTATCATATATGCATCTGATCTTTTCTTTCGTGTTTCTTTTTTTTTATTTTTTAAGATGGAGTCTCTCTCTGTTGCCCAGGCTGGAGTGCAGCGGCACCATCTCGGCTCACTGCGACCTCCACTTACCGGGCTCAGGCGATTGTCCTGCCTCAGCCTCCCAAGTGGCTGGGACTACAGGCACAAGCCACCATGCCCAGCTAATTTTTGTATTTTTAGCAGGGACAGGGTTTCACCAAGTTGGCCAGGATGGTCTGGATCTCTTGACCTTGTGATCTGCCCTTCCCGGCCTCCCAAAGTGCTGGGATTACATGGGTGAGCCACCGCGCCTGGCCTTCATATTTCTTTATATTCTTCACAGTGCCCAAGAAAAAAAGAATGTGTAATACACTTGCTTGATTTAGTGATTTTTATTTTTGAACATCGTGTTCTTTGAAAGGCTGACACTTCTTCCTTCCACTCGCTTAATGTGTTGAAATAAATATGGTTCCCCTCCCTCTAAGCATAAAGCTTCATTTAAATGTCATTACAACTTTAAAAATCGAATTGGCACTGGATGTGTCACTCTTTTTCATTACTAATATAAATTAAATGGTTAATGATTCACAGAGATAGTTTTCCTAAATCATGTGACATTAAGATTGCCATTAAATTCTCTTGGTAGAATAATACATGGCCTGAAATGAAGACAAATAATAGATTTTTTTTTAAAAAAAGAACTGAAATTATAATGAAGAAGAAGAAAGAAAGAGAGGAGGAAGAGAAGGAGGAAATTACCTCTTTACAGCTTTTAACAAAATTAAAAGCTTGAGTTTGTCGATGAAATAGTTTCCAAATGGAGGGTGGTTCTTCTGGCTTGGACAATCTTGGCCTATACACTGAGGACAATGGTTTCCTCCCATACTGAGATGCTCGTTCTTCAATTTGCTTCAGTTTTGTTTCCCATTTTCTGTTCATTGGTTCAGAAGTATGGAGAGAATAAATCCTATCCCACGTTATATTTCTATCAATTACTACTAAAACAAACAATAAACAAAAAAAGGCCATTAATTTCTTTGCTTAGAATATACTTTGTTTGATAACGTTTCAAAACTCATTTCCTGACGCTTATTTCCTTGTTTATTCTTTGCATGAAGTTTTACCACAGAACGAGAGCAAGGCTGGTTCTCAGAATTCTTAGATCCTGGTTCTTCATTTAATGGTATTAGGACCTTGGACAGGTTAATGAAGCTCTCTGAATTTTAGTTTAATCAACTGACAAATGGAAATCAGTATCATCTTGAGTACTTTATATACTTACCATGAAGACAAATGTGATTAAAGACAGATGCAAATGTTCTCTAAATTACAAAGCCTCATGTAAATATATGTACTTTTTGTATCATTATGGGTTTGTTTTTTCTGGGGGGGGGGAACAGGGTTTCACCATATTGGTCAGGCCAGTCTCGAACTCTTGACCTCAGGTGATCCACCGCCTCAGCCTCCCGAAGTGCTGGGATTACAGGCATCAGCCACCACGCCTGTCCCATTTTGGTTTTTATTATAACCATTTTATTGTATCACATGCTATGACCTTGTCCATCATTCTTGTGCTATTATTTCTCAGTGTAAAATTCATTTCTAGACACTAATGTAAAGCTCTTAGCTCCCTTTTCCTCTGTTTCTGTCCATTTCACCTCTTCTCTCTCAACACAAGTTTTAGTTTGGAATATGAATGCAAATTACAATATTGGCTAGTTTTGGATGTCTGTAGTAATGGATGATTTTTCTTTCTATAGAATACCTCCATGTCAGCCATGCCAGAATCAGGGGCCAGGCAATACTTTTCCAATCTGGGATGATAATTCATTTACAAAAGAAAAAGAATAGGTTTTTAGAAGAAGAGTGGGGAAACTTACACTGCAGATAAACAACAGCCAAATCAGCCCAAACCCCTTATCATTCCTCCCATGAAGAAATGGTACCTGAACTCACTCTCACATGACTCTCAGCTTGGCCATATGACTTGTCTTGGGCCAACATCACGTTGACGAAAGTGAAGCAAGCAGCCGTTTAACGAGTGCCTTTGCAGCAGACTTGGTTATCACTGAGTCCTGCCCTGAGACTGCCAGGCCATAACTCTAGCCTCACAGAGGATGAAAGGCCACATGGAAAAGAACAAAGGAATTGCGGCTGACAGTGACATAAGCAGTCCAATAGGCGGGTTGGGCCATTCTGGACATCCAGCCATCATCTGAATTCAAGACATTAGTAAGCCTGAGTGAGTCCCAGAGAGGCCTACCAAATTGCCCAGCCAACCCACAGATCTATAAAAAAAAAATAAATGTGGTTGTTTTGCCTTTTTCACACCAGTAAGTTTGGGGCTGGTTTTGACACAGAAATAGTTCCTCTCTTCATCAATATCATCTTTGTCATAATTTACCTATGTGGAAATAGACATATTAGGGTGTTTTTTAAGTGAAATAATATGTACTAAATCATTTAAGGGTAAAATCCTATTTGCCTTTGGTAACATGCTTGTGCTTATTAAGTTGATAAACATTGTCTTGAATTTTAGCAGAAAACTGTAGCAACACAAACTCATTGGCAAATGAATACTCCCTGGAAGGAAAACCAGAATCTCCCTAAAATATTGAGAGGGTAGGCTGGACGAAGTGGCTCATGCCTGTAATTCTAGCTTGTTGGGAGGCCAAGCCGGGTGGATCACCTGAGATCAGGAGTTTGAGACCAGCCTGACCAATATGGTAAAACCCCATCTCTACTAAAAATACAAAAATTAGCTGGGCATGGTGGTGGGCGCCTGTAGTCCCAATTACTCAGGGGGCTGAGACAGGAGAACTGCTTAAACCTGGGAGGCGGAGGTTGCAGTGAGCTAAGATTGTGCCACTGCACTCCAGCCTGGGCAAGACTCCATCTCAAAAAAAAAAAAAAAAAGAGAGAGAGGATAGAATATCATGACCTTGTTAGAAAAAAAAAAAAAGGCATATTATCCACAGATTTCAAATTTGACATCAATCATAACAGACCTAAGAAAGATTATTCTCTCAGTTATACCTAATCCACATAAAACTATAAAGTAGGAAACAGAAATATAAATATATTCATGTAAATTTCATAACAGATATGCTTAGGAAAATTATCAATTCACTAGATTGAGGGGATGAAGCCGTTTTTTTAAAAACTGCTTCAACTTGTCAATACAAAGTGATATGGCTCCTTATTGCTAGATTCTGAGTATTCAGTTACTTTGATCTGCTTCACATACAGATAAAAATCTACTACACTTAGATAAACCTAATTGAGAAACTGGCTTTCTATTATGAAACTAACTTTTAACAAAGTCCATTGATTATTAGTGAAGAAAATAAATACAGAATGCAATCACATCTGCTTCCAGCTATTATCTAACCAGTAACTGACTACAAATGACTATGCGGTGTTCATACTTAGGGACACTGAAGCTTTATTAGGAAAAATTGTTTTGATTTTGTAAAAATCTTGGTAGGAACGTGGGAGTATGTCATACATGAACATCATGGAATCACAGTGAAAAAACATTTTAAGACTCACTGAACTGGGGAAACCATGAGAGTCAACAGAAGAAGAAAGAGAAGTTCAGTATATATCATGCCCCTTCACGTCTACACAGCTTGAAAATTTTAACAGGTGGGTGAGCATCAGAAGACAACTGGGGCTTTGTCTAGACCAGCAGGAGGGTTGAGTTACAAAAAGCAAATGAAATGGAGAACAGGGAGGCATCTGGCATTCTGGTTTGGACTATCGAATTCCCCATCACTCCCCTCCGGGGGAGTGTGTCACCATATTAGTAATGCTTTTAATTCCCAGGGGTGAAAGGGTGTTGTCTTTTACATAATTGTGTATCAAAGCTCCTTTCTGCCCAGGGACTGAATTATTTTTGGTAATAGTTTCCAAGTTCCAAAGGAAAACATTTATTGTATTTTAAAAGATTGGGCTCAAAGAGTTTCTATTACTTACTTCTTAACATTGCACACAATGTTTTTTAACCATGTTTGATTATTAAGCATGTTTGATACTGATTTTTCAACTGAAAAATCGGTCGAGCTAGAAATCTAATGGCTATGTTAGTCCTTTTCAGGTAACTACAGTGGGAGAAGAGACAACAGGTATGGAAGAGGAGAGATGGCACAGACCTAAGTAGCCCCAGCTGCCCTGCATTTATGCCCAGACTTGCCCAGCTGTGACATTTGATGGCCTGGCTCCCAGGAGAAGCTGAAGGAGGGGGCGCATGCTTCATATTTACTGTTTTTGGGGGGGACCTGAAGCCGGCCTGGCCATGGTTCTTCCTAGCCTAGTCCTCCCAGTTTCTTTTCTTTTTTATTTTTTGAGATGGAGTTTTGCTCTTGCTGCCCAGGCTGGAGTGCAGTGGTGCAGTCTCGGCTCACTGCAACCTTTACCTCCCAGGTTCAAGCGATTCTCCTCTCTCAGCCCCTGAGCAGCTGGGATTATAGGCGCCCGTCACCATGCCCAGCTAGTTCTGTATTTTTAGTAGAGACGGGGTTTCATCATATTGGTCAGGATGGTCTCAAATTCCTGACCTCAGGTGACCTTCCTGCCTCAGCCTCCCAAAGTGTTGTGATTACAGGCATGAGCCACCATGCCCAGCCCTCCCGGTTTCTTTCTTTCTCTCTCTCCTTCTTTCCTTCCCTCCTTCCTTCCTCCCTCCCTTCCTTCCCTGCTTCCTCTCATCCTTCCCCCCTTCCTTCCTTCCTTCCTCCCTCCCTCCTTTTCTTTTCTTTTTTTCTCGTCACTGGTCAATTCCTCGTCCCCAATTCCGACTTCTCTCTCTACCCTGAAATTAGATTCATCAGTATTTTGTGTTTTCTACCAATACCCTAGTTCTACTATTTAGTAACATTTTGGTGTTTTACAGTGTTTTCTTAATCCCTTTTCTAGCCTCTTGGAATGCATTCATACTATTTGTCCCACTGCTAAAGTATTTATCATAAAGTATGTAATCAAAAAGCAATTACAAAGATATTATTCTATAAGTTCACTTTCTGGATGAATAACACCTTAAGAAATTAAGTATAAGTGACTGGATTTTCTTTTTTTCCCACTTCAGTCATTTTGCTTTTCTATGCTTGAGCAGAAGTAACTCATTTTAAATTTCCCAAGATTCTCTTGTAAGGGGTAAGAAAACACACAGCCATATATTGTGCTTTTCCAGTTCCTTTCTACCCTCCCCACAGGATCTCCCAACCAAAGAGCATAACTGCCAGACCAATCACCCTTAAAACCATTTCCATCACTTTTCACAGGGATAATGATTCATAGCAACATTCAGCTCACACAGGTAAACTAACCTCATGAAATCTAAACTCCCCTCCAGAAGCTGGCCCTAAATCATTTACCTATTTCATTTCTTACTCTTCCACCACCTCACCAGATAAATTGATAATGAACTCTCCTTTCTACGGAACCACTCCAGAAACCCCCCTGGTACACATTTCTCTCACCTGGAATGCCCCATATCCCCTTTCCCAAATTATTTCCCTTCCAGGCCTAGATCAGTTTGTCACCTCTGGGACACCTCTGTAAAGAGAAATTACTGTGTTCAGCCAGAAGACATTGCTTCCAGCCTGCTGTTTTGCTATAATTAAAATGTTTGACGCCGAGCAGTGGCTCACGCCTGTAATCCCAGCACCACGGGAGGCCGAGGTGGTTGGATCATGTGAGGTCACGAGGTGGAGACCAGCCTGCCCAACATAGTGAAACCTTATCTCTACTAAAAACACAAAAATTAGCTGAACATAGTGGCAGGTGCCTATATGCCCAGCTACTCGGGAGGCCAAGGCAGGAGAATTGCTTGAATCTGGAAGGTAGAGGTTGCAGTGAGCTAAGGTTATGATACTGCACTCCAGCCTGGGCAACATGAGGGAAACTCCGTCTCAAAAAAAAAAAAAAAAGTTTGTAGACTAAATTAGTGTAACTTAAAGAAACCTGAAAATTGCTGCTGATGCTCGCTCATTTTGGGAAGAAAGTTTAGCACAGGAAGGGGTTTGGGCATCGCAATAGGTTAAGGACTAGTTCAACCACACTAGTCCCCAGTAGTTTGCAATTACTGCCCCCCAGAGCCACTGATAGGGTTGGGAGTGGGTCTTATTTCTCAGTTTTACTGAGGCAGAGAAAGGACTGTCAAATATTAGTGTTCGCTCAATTCGGGAGGGATAAAGAAAGGCTTAAGTCTTATTTGTAGGATCTGAGTTTAACTCCTGTGACTCTCTTTTTAGCAACCACTTTAAACCCAGGTAGGGATTGGAATTCCTACCCCGAGGGATTGCTGAAAGGATGAAACAAGCAAATGTATTATGAAAATCTAAGAGCATGCAATAAACTCCCAGCAAGTGGTAACCATATAAAAAACTAAGTATATTTCTGTGCAGAGTACAGTCCCTAAACTGGAATAGGCACAAGTGTTAGGAACAGTCTATCCCTGACCTGACTTCAGAATGTCAAGAACCTTTTGAAATCTGATGCAGAATGCCGAGCTCACATGTGTTGATGAATTCTTCTGCGAAAACAATTCACTTTGCTTCAGGGTCTAAAATGCGTTCATGACCCAAAATAGGAATGGGGTCGGCAGGGCAGTGTATAACACACCCCTGACTATTAATAACTAGTAACTGTTAATAACTCCATCTTAGGAAAAGACTCCATGTTATATTTCATAAGGCATTTGCCAACAAGGATACTATATTTTGGTTAATAAATAAAAAAATAGTCCGCATCCAATCAGGTAAGGACACAAACACCCTCTTCTACTATCAGTTCTCACCACAGGACTCTGACTACAAAAGACGAGGCCTGGCCCAGCACTTTGGGAGGCCAAGGAGGGCGGATCACCTGCGGTTGGGAGTTCGAGATCAGCCTGACCAACAAGGTGAAACCCCCCTCTCTGCTAAAAATACAAAATCAGCCGGGCCAGGTGGCGCGTGCCTGTAATCCCAGCTGCTGGGAGGCTCAGGCAGGAGAATCACGTGAACCCGGGAGGCGGAGGTTGCAGTGAGCCGAGATCACGCCACCGCACTCCAGCCTGGGCAACAAGGAGACTCCATCTCAAAAAAAGAAAAAGAAAAACACAAAAAGAGGCCTTCGGCAGCTCCAAACAGCCATTTTAACTGCAGAAGGACCTCTGGGCCCAAAGCAGGCCTTTCTCTTGTTCACTCTGGCCTGGTTCGTTCCTCTCTTTGTTCTCTCTTTTTCCTCAGGTTAAATGCCACTTTGTTTGTTGTGGGATGCTTAACTCGTAACATTTATATGCTGAGTACATACCGTCTGCAGCACTACGTGCTGGTGGAGGGGCTTGAACCTGCGTGTCCAGGTGGACTACCCAGTGACCAGGAAGTGCTGAGAACTGAGTCCTGGGGAACTCCACGCAGCTCGTGGCTTTTGATTGAAAGAGCGTCAACAGAAGCCTGACATGGTGGAAACACACAGCATGCGTGGGCCTGGTTATTTCTAGCCTGGCACCTGGTGACAGGAGGTTAGGGATTAGGAAGAGGGACCCGGGGGTAACCGAAGGAAAGGCCTCGGGTCACTGGAGGAGAGACAGAAATTACCGGCGGGCCTCTCGGCGTGCCCCTCTTCTTCCCGGAGCTCACACTGGGCAGCAGGCCTGGCCTTGTCTCCCTACTAAGTACCCCTTGGGCCCGGCGCAGTTTCCAGGTTTCCCTCAGTTTATCTCCAGAATCCCGCGCTGGGAGCCGACGCCCGCAGGCTCTCGGGAAGACCAAGATTTCAAATCCCGAGCGGGGGCGCCCGGCCCGGCCTTGGGGGCGGGGCCTGGGCGGGGCCTCGGGACGGGACCAGAGCGTGAGGGCGGGGGCGGGGCGCGGGGCGGCCTTGGGGGCGGGGTCTGGGCGGGGCCTCGGGACGGGACCAGAGCGTGAGGGCGGGGGCGGGACCCGGGGGCGGGGCGTGCCGCCGCCGGCTAGCGGGCAGGAAAGGCGGGCGGCGCGCAGTGCCCAGCCGGGGGCGGGGTTCTCGGGTGGGCGGGAGCTCGGGGACGCGCCGCAGAGGCGGGAGCTCGGGGACGCGCGGGGCCGAGAGGGGCGGGCCGGGGGCGGGGCTGTCCCTGGAGCTCACAACTCCTGGCCGCGGGCTGCGGAAGCCGAGCAGACGCGGAGCCTGGCGGGTGTCTGTGAGGCAGCTGTGGAGGGTTTGGGGACGCTGTGCGGTGAGTGCCGCCCTCGCCCCGGGCCGTCAGTCCTGCGCCTGCTCCCTGCGTCGTCCCAGGCCCAGCGCCCGCCCGGGGACCCGCCCGGCTCGGCAGCTGTGCGGGAGACTGAGATGGGCACGGTCTGGGTGGTGGAGCCTTTGTTTTGCCACCTCATCTGAGGCGGAGGCGAGCACTGAAGCCCGCGGTGCGGGAGACCTGGCCTGGGGCGGGAGACCTGGCCCGGGGCGGGAGGCTGGGCCGGAGCGGGAGACCTGGCGCGGTGCGGGAGACCTGGCCCGAGGCGGGAGGCTGGGCCGGAGCGGGGAATCGAGCCGGGAATCGAGCCGGGAATGCCAGGCAGCGGGAGACCTGGGCGGAGGATGCCAGGCAGCGGGAGGAACCGAGCCCGGGGCCGGGAGGTTGGGCACGGGACACCGAGCTCTGAGGGCGGGAGGCCTAGCGATTGGGCCGGGAGCCGGAGGCCGGGCCAGGCGGCAGGAGAAGGGACAGCGCTACCGCCGGCGGAGGAGTGGCCCCGGGAAGGGGCGCTGCCGGGGCTGGGGCGGCCGGGTGCGGACTGAGCTTCTGGCCCTCGGGCTGATCCTCCCTGTTTGGGACGAGGGTTCGGTCTCTGCTGCCTCCCACGCCTGGAGCCTGGACTATCCCGGGTTGACTGTGGTTTAGCCCTTCCGTGGAGGTCGTTGCAGGGTTGAAACTCCAATTCCTTTTCGGCCCTGCAGAGCTTCGTGAGTGCTCGCAGCTCATATCTGTCGCTGTGTATCCGTGGCCACAGTCGGTGGTGCCTCCTTGAAACCCCAGGCCGCGAGAAGTTAGCGAGCCCTGCTCACCCTCGGCGCTCTGGGTTTCAATGGCGGTGCTCTGCACCTGCCTCTTCCATTCTCAGTAAGTGGCACCCAAGCAGGAAAGTAGAAAACATCCTTCTCAGCCCCCTCTCGCCCATCTGCTTGTTTCCCACTTCGTCACCAAGCCTTGTCGACCTCGTGAATGTCTACCAGATCTGTCCACATCTCTCCGTTTCTGATTTCAGCCGCCTGACCACGGCAGCCTCTTCCCTGGTCTCCCCACTTCCAGACCCGCCTGCTCCTTTGCAGTCTATTTATTTCAGCACAGGCAGAGGGATCTTTATGAATGAAAGTCTAGAAAGCTCGTGCTTTGCCCTTAGGTTAAACCCAGCACGTAACATGGCTAACAAACCTCAGCACGTGTTGGGTCCGAGCACCCTCCCCCGCCTTATCTTTAGCACGGATTCACTTTCCGCACAGCCGTGCTGATCTTCATACCTAGCTCCACCTGTGACACCTCTGCGTTCCCTTTCTCCCTCCATCACGTTTGCTTAGAAGAGCTCCTACTTAGATTTCTGTTTTCATTAGACAGTTCAAGGTTAAATCTTTCTATAATGTGTTCTTTCTGCAGCCAGCTTTTCCTAAGAGAGATGTGTCATATCCTTTGCAGTGGCTTGTTTACTGTCTTTCCTGCTGCATTTGTAAGCAAACTCCATGAGGGACAGACTTGGTTTATCTGGGTGTTCCTTAGTGTCTTTTCCCAAATGTGGGGCATGGCACAGCACAGTGAATGCCCATCCATTTGTGTTTTTACTATTATGCCCTATCTAGAAAAAGTAGACCTGATTTAGGATTGTTTAGCAAATTATAATTAGAAAAGAAATGGTAGAGGTGACATATGGAGTCATTGTAACAGTGTAACCCTGCAAGATAGCAGAAGGAGGGCCAGGCAACGTGGTTAGACCACACTCTATCAAAATGGGCTCAGCCACTGCGAATGTGCGTGCTGTGGTTACATGATCTCTACAAATGAAACGTAAAGCTTAAATCATCCCTGTCACAGCCCGATGCTTGAACTCTGGTTTTGCTTTGTCTTTTTGCCAAAGAAGGTTTTTGAAAGTGAAAATGTTTTTGAATGAAGGGACGAAAAGTTTATTGGAGTATGGCAATAAACCCTGTTCAAAGTAACAGACATTCGACATTGTACCTAGTTAAATCAGATTTGCTTTTGCTATCCTGAAAAAAGGCCTTGCCTCTTGCCATTTGAAGAGACTGGCATCTGATATAGGCAATTATAATGCTTCTTTACTGTTTTGCTTTCAAACCTAATTTAACACAATCTCCCACTGCTTCATACCCCTACAAAGCAGTCTTTATTGTCATGAATGATATATTACATTTCTTCTGGTGCCTACTATTAGATCTTTAAGCTCTACCCGAAAGATAGGAAACACTGGTGTTCTGGCCCAGAGAAAGATGTGGGAATTCTTAGATTTATATAATGTTCTTTCTCTGCATGTTTTGTTCTTGCCTTCACATGTTGCCTGTAGAGCTTCTTTGTATTACCATAATGAGATAAAGCTACCTGGTATGTATTGGACACCATCAGGCATCTGCCTTGTTAAACCACTTTTGAATACCAGCGAGCATTGGTATAAGTGCTGCAGAGGGATGGGGTTTGTTTCTTCCGCTGCTTGATACACTCAGGGTCCAGTATGGTACTCTGCACACAGTTGGTGTTCAGTAAATTGTTATGGTCCAAATATCAAATGAATAAATGCTACTGAATCTGACTTTTGGCAGTTTCATCTTCCAGACAGCAGGATTTCTTCAAGTGGTTTTAAACCTGAATCTGATTCTGCAAAGTAGTGGTTCTTGGTGGGAGTGGTGAGGCTTTAAAGTTACCTGTAATTTTTATAAAAAGGCATCTGAGATCCTCCATTTTACACTTATACAGATTATTCAGATCTGTGAAGGCTTTCCCATTTTCTCCTTTTGGCCATCCAAAAGGACTTCATTTGGCAAAGGGAAGACAGATCTTTTGCACATAGTAAGTGCCATTCTTTCTGTCTGATGTCATAGGCTTTGAATAGTGGGGAGTGCTCTATGCTGTCTTCCTGGTCACTTGGCTCATGCCAGAGAAAAGGAAAGGATGGTTTATTTGTTTGTATAGTACAATGGAAACTTGTTTAGATTTATTGTGTATTTGATTTTACGTTCCTGTTCTCATATTTTTACCTTAACTACACAATAAATATTAAAAGACTGGCTTCACCAGGCCCAATGACAATAGCCAGTTTGATAATTCTTATATGTACTCAAATGAATTCAGAGACCAGATGGGAAAAGATTTTGATAAAACCTCTGGTTTTATTACATTACAACTGAAGTCTTTTCTTGCCCAAACAATTGTGAAACAGATGTTCTTTCTGTTTCATTTGCTAAATCTGGGAATGTGACTGCTTTTGAGACTTTGTCCTCTCTGACAGTTGATAAATATAAGCCGGATATTTTTCAAGTTGTTTGACAGAAGTGTAGTTTCCCCAGAAGTCCTACTGGACAGGCTTCACTTTTCTTTTGGAGGAAAACAGAGTTACAGGAAATATGTCTTAATGACTTATACTGAAAGCTGAACATAAAACAGTAATTTAACTTTTATTATTTTTAGAGGCTCAAGTGCAGTGGTGCGATCATAGCTCACTGCAGCCTCCAACTCCTGTGCTCATGCCATCCTCTTGCCTCAGCCTCCTGAGTAGCTCGGACTACAGGTGTGTGCCACAATGCCAATCTACTTTTTTTTACTTTTTTGTAGAGATGGGGTCTCTCTGTGTTGCCCAGACTGGTCTCAAACACATGACCTCAAGCAGTCCTCCCACCTTGGCCTCCCAAAGTACTGGGATTACAGGTCCAAGCCACCGTGTCTGGCCTGTTTCACTTTAGAAGTAAATCGAATGTCACATGCAAGGTTTGTTAAATTTAAAAAGAAGAAAGAAAGGAAAAATAGAAGTAAACTACCTAGTGGTATCAGAAATGCCGTAATTGTTTTTGCCATTTTTTTCATTCATTAGAATTCAGTGCATTATGTTATTTTGGTACCTCTGCAGTAACTTGCTATCATATTATGTTTTTTGTCTTATTTAAAGCTTCTGAGATTTTGGGGTTTTGTTTCCTTCCCTGAAATTAAGCATTATCACTCCTACATAGTGCTAAACTGCCTATAGAATAGTCAGAGTCTGCCGTCTTGAGTTGGGAAGATCCTAGTTTGAATCCTGGCTGTGCCACTTTAAAGTTCCTTAACTCCTCTTAGCCTCGGTCACCTGAACTCTGCAGTGGGGATCCTTATGCCTCAGAGTGTGTCATTGGGAGGACTCACGAAAAATAGCTTGTACTTTTGAGTTTAGTACCTAGTCTGTATGAGCCAGCAGTAAGAGTGACAGTCATCACACAGTGCTTTACACACACCTCTGCCGTCACATGCAGGACTGTTCTTCCTTTGGCTACTGTTTTGGTAAATCTTTGCTAGTAAATGTTTCTTAAAAGCATTTATATTCATGGACCTGATTCAGAAATTAACTGAGTTGGTTTTTAGGTCTCACTTTGAGAATTAAAAACCCTTAGGGCAGAGAGCAGATTTTATTTCTTACCTCAGAGTTTCCCTGTAGGATAGGAACCAGCAACACCCTAATAACCAGTAACTGTTAGCTGATTAAGAATCTCTAAAACTGGCAATCCTAATTTAACATCTCCTTTTGAATTCCTACCAACGCACACTTTTACACATTCACTCTTTAATAACAGGTTATTTCAAATTATTGATGCTTTGTAGCTTAATATAGAAATTTCACTTTAGAAATTAATTTTCATTTCTTTGCCTTAATGCTATAGATGGTGTATTCTGCTTTGCTTCATTATTATAATAAGTAGTTGGCTAACCACCATGTAAATAGGGAGAACATTCCAGTTTTTTGCTTGTGTAGGAAAACACAGCTTGAAATGTCTAAATATCTGTTTTAGAGTGAAATAAATTTATACTGACAACATTTTTTAATGTTTGAAAGCCTGACTGTTAATAGCGTTGGTGGCAAGTGTTAAGGGATCCAGGAATTAGCAAAGTGATCTGAGACCGGAGTTCCAGGTTTCCATGTAATGTCAGTTGGTCTGCTGAGAACTTTGCCATAAACATATGTGTTTAGAAATTTCCTTTCTTATCAACAGCATCCTGAATTGATGAAAATAATTGATTAAGAATTAATTAATCAACCCAGTAAGAAACAATTTGTGTTAAGCCCATTGCTATGCCAGGATAAATTTTTTAAACCCCTATTCCTATTTATGTTTTGTCAAATAAAAAGGTTATAAGAACCTAAATTCCTGTTTTCATTTAAAGCAGTGACTATTTCCCTTAGGATAAGATCTTTTATCCTTAGATGAGCTCACCATCCTCAGAATAATTTGTATTCAGCTGGGCATTAGCTAATGGAGGTGAGGTCATGCTAAGCAGCACTTCAGTGAGTTTTGTTGGAACCAAAGCTCTGCTCCTGGGAGTGTGAATTTGGTGCTTTCGTGTGGAAACAACAGATGATGATAAGTAAAGAGCAAATGTGCACATGTCGGATGCTGTAAGGATTTCATTTATCATCATATAAATTTTTAGAAGTATATCAAAATAAACTGATAACTGAGGCAATATTGTTCAGATAATAATGAAGTCAATGAAGTACACCATAGTATTTGTTCCTGAGAAATTTTTTTCAAATAGACAATATTTTAAATCCTGTTATAGAAGAATTTTTTTCTTTCAGCCAATGATTCTCTTACTAAAACAAAATTATTTGTTGTGTCTAATATCAGAAATGATTAATTTATGGTTATTTATATTGATTGGTCTCTCTGAATTTTTTGACTTAATTGACTTGATGTATAGAAAGAAAATGACTTTTAAGTAAAGTCACCTTAATATTTACAGGAGATTTTATATTGGTCTGAGCCAAGAAGTAAATATTATAGGACTTTGAAAAGCTGGTCCCTATCTAAAGTTTCCATACCAGTCAGAAGGAGAGAATTAATTTTATTCCACAGTTTCATTGCTGGCAAAAAAACACAAGTTTATTAAAAATCAGTATTTCAGTATAAGAGTTACTAGACTGTTTGCAGAAATATTCAAAAGAGATCTTTAGGGCCTTGGTTGTCTGTAGAAGCTGATCAGCATTTAGGGGTTTCTGAGCACAGACTGTGAACCCTGCATTTGGCAAATGCATTCAGAGAGCCAATTTGAGGCAGACGGGGGTGGGGGGGGTTGGAGAGGATACTGCCAGGAGCTCCAGGTTCAGCTTCAGAAGTTATTAAGTCTTATTTCCCAGTTTTTTAATTAGACTTCATTTTTACAGCAGTTTTAAGTTCAAAGCAAATTGAGAACGTACAGAGATATCCCATATCCCACCTGCCCCCACACATGCATAGCCTCCCCCATTTTCAACATCCTGCACCAGAGGGGTAGATTCTTACAGAGAAACCTACAGTGACACATCATCCTCACCCAAACTCCACCTTTCACAATAAAGTTCACTATTGATGCTGTTTATCCTATGGGTTTGGACAAATTTACATTGACTTGGCATCCACCATTGTAGTGTCACACAGAGTGGTTTCACTGCCTTAAAAATTCTCTGTGCTGGCCAGGCACAGTGGCTCACACCTGTAATCCCAACACTTTGGGGGCTGAGGCAGGTAGATCACTAGGTCAGGAGTTTGAGACCTGGCCTGGCCAACATGGTGAAACCCTGTCTCTTAAAAATACAAAAATTGCCGGGTGTGGTGGCTCACGCCTGTAATCCCAGCACTTTGGGAGGCTGAGGCGGGTGGATCACGAGGTCAAGAGATCGAGACCATCCTGGTCAACATGGTGAAACCCCGTCTCTACTAAAAATACAAAAAATTAGCTGGGCATGGTGGCGCTTGCCTGTAATTCTAGCTACTCAGGAGGCTGAGGCAGAGAATCGCCTGAACCCAGGAGGTTGAGGTTGCGGTGAGCCGAGATCGCGTCATTGCACTCCAGCCTGGGTAACAAGAGCGAAACTCTGTCTCAAAAAAAAAAAAAAAAATACAAAAATTAGCTGGGCCTGGTGACCGGTGCCTATAATCCCAGCTACTCAGGAGGCTGAGGCAGGAGAATCACTTGAAATCAGAAGGCAGAGGTTGCAGTGAGCCGAGATTTTGCCACTGCACTCCAGCCTGGGCAACAAGAGCAGAACTCCATCTCAAAAAAAAAAAAAATTCTCTCTGCTGTCTCCCTCCCTCCTACCCACTGGCAAACACTGATCTTTGTACTGTCTCCATAGTTTTGCCTTTTCCAGATTGTTAGATAGTTGGAATCGTAGAGTATATACAGTCTTTTCAGCCTGGCTTCTTTCATTTAGTAATAATGCATTTGAAGTGTCCTACATGTCTTGTCATGGCTTTGCTAGCTTTGTTTTTAGCGCTGAATAATATTCTGTTCTCTGGATATACCACAGTTTGTTTATTCATTCACCTACTGAAGGACATCTTAGTTGCTTCTAGTTTTGACACTTATGAATAAAACTGTTATAAACATCTGTGTGCAGGCTTTTGTGTGAACATAAGTTTTCAGCTCCTTTGGGTAAATACCAAAGAGCGTATTTACCATATGGCTGGATCATATGGTAAGAATATGTTTAGTTTTGTAGGAAGCTGCCAAACTGTCTTCCAAGTTGGCTGTACCATTTTGGATTTCCACGAGCAGTGATTGAGAATCCCTGTTGCTCCACATCCTCACCAGTATTTGGTGTTGATGGTGTTCTGCATTTTGACCATTCTGCTAGAAGTGTAGTGATATCTCATTGTTGCTTTAATTCGCATTTCCCATTATTTGCAATCTCTACATCTTTGATGAAGCCCACTGGATTTTTACTTTAGACTTTCTCTTTTTTTTGAGATGGAGTCTTGCTCTGTCTCCCAGGCTGGAGTGCAGTGGCGCGATCTCCGCTCACTGCAACCTTTGCCTCCCAGCTTCAAGCAATTCTACTGCCTCAGCCTCCCAAGTAGCTGGGATTACAGGCGCATACCACCACGCCCAGCTAACTTTTGTGTTTTTAGGAGAGACAGGGTTTCACCATGTTGGTCAGGCTGGTCTTGAACTTTTGACCTTGTGATCTGCCCACTTTGGCCTCCCAAAGTGCTGGGATGACAGGCCTGAGCCACCACACCCAGCCTCACTTTAGACTTTCTATAGATTGGCCATGAAGTCTTGAAACAAAGATACCATGGATTATAATGCAGTATCAATAAACTATTATGTGTTCACCTGTTTCCAAACTTGTTGGCTACCCTGTACTGTTCTCTCAGTTAATCAAGTTAACCACAATTTGTTTCTTAACCACAGGTGGCTAATTATTTTGTCTGTGGTCTGTCCACTTTGAATTGATGTGCATGGGGCAAGTTGGTCTCTATGACATTTATGGTTCAAGGAAGTTTGAGATTTCCTTGTATCTAATACATGCTTATTGTACATATGAAAGAAAAAGAGAAAGGCAGATAGATGGGAACATGGTACTGAGCATTATATAGGCGAGGAACGGTGGCTACTTTGATAGGAAAATACCCCTATTTTTGTCACTCTTGAAACAGGGCCAGGAGTTGAAGATGGCTAGGATAATCCACACCTTTGTTGACATTGTTTTATAAAATAATATTTGTTACTATTTTCTCACTTTAAAAAATGCAGATGTTATAGAAAAATTAGAAGATATAGAAGAATGTTAAAGAGTAATAAGTTGTCAGTAATGCCATCACCCAGAGAAAGCCACTATTAATAAACATGTTAATATGTAAAGACATACTAATATGTAATATGCACTGAGTGACTAATGGCAGGTCACTTAGTAGCTGTATCGGTTGTCAGATCAACTGTCGTGGTATGGCAGTGCTTATGTTCAATTAACCCTTATTAGTTGTTGTTGTTAATCTCTTTCTGCGCCCAATTTATAAACTAAACTTTCACATAGGCATGTATGAATAGGAAAAAATGTACTGTATATAGGGTTCAGTACTGTATTCAGTTTCAAGCATCCACTGGCGGACTTGGGAGGTTCCCTCCCACCCCCATCTCACAGGTATGCTACTGTATAATTATTCCTCTATCTAAAGAAAGAGCTTCTGGAAGATAGGAACTTTGTCTTGTCTTCCACCCTATCGTATTTCTCAGGATGATATCTGGCACAAAGTATTTGCTTACTGACAAACTAAAAGATGATTTATCCCAGTTGTACTCACATCTTCCCATGGTTTTCCAGAAAGCCTACAGGAAGTAAGATGGTAGAAAAGCAAAGTCTTCATAGAAATGTGGAACATAGACTGGCTCTTGGAGAAGGTCCAACACCACCCTCTCCTGTGGTTAAATTGAGATGATGACTCTGGCTCTCCTCTGTGTTCATTTCTTCACCTTTCCCCACCACGGGTGCACACAAAACTTGGGGAAGGGGAGAAAGGAGCTTAGCTTTACCTTAATAGAAGGGAAGAAATTATGTTTTCCAATTGACCTTGAAAATGGGGACCTTGGTACGGTTTAGGAAGATAAAAAAGTTCTGTGATAGATTCCAACAATCTGACTACTCAATGCCACTGAACTGTACACTTAAAAATGGTAAATTTTATGTATATTTTACCACAGTTTTAAAGATTAAAATTTAAAAAGTGGGGAAAGTTACCTAGGACTTTCTAGAAGGCTTTTGTGGGTGAGCAAGTTCTGCTGTAAGATTGTGTATGATTTTGGTATTTCTGATTGTATCATAGGAGTGAGGTAAAAGTTGTATTTTGACAGGAATATTTGACATTGCCAGGGTTTCTAGAGTCTGGAGAAGGTCAGTCAAGATTTTTTGTTCTTGTTTTTCTGTATTTAGGGAGGTGGATTGCCATGGAAAGTACCTTTGCTTTTGGAAAGCCAGAGAATACCTGGTAGAACTATAGAAAAGTAGTAAGGAGCTGGCTTCTTTAGAGGCAGCATAGTAGAGTGGAAAGAGGGCCTTGTCACTTAGATTGTGACTATCAATAGTCACTTCACCACCAGGGTTGGGTTTCCTGACTTTTAGAAATTTGAAAAGATTAAAAATGAATGTCTTGCAAAGTACCTGGTATATATTAAGTGCTCAATAAGCGATAGTTGCTTTGATGATAAGAACTGGTTCACCTTGCGAGATATAATTGTGTGATGGAAGAATGAAAGCGGAAACTGTAGTTTTTACTTTTAGGTTTCCTGGGCCATTTTACTACCCTAAATGAGAAGCTTTGCTTCCAAAATCCAGTTTAAGAGTAAAAACTAAGCTGGACTGGTGGCTCTTACCTTAATCCCAGCACTTTAAGAGCTCTGGGTGGACAGATTGCTTAAACCCAGGAGTTCAAGACCAGCCTGGGCAACACGGCAAGACCCTATGTCTACAAAAAATACAAAAATTAGCTGGACATGGTGGTGCACGCCTGTAATCCCAGCTACTCCGGAGGCTGAGGCGGGAGAATTTGAGCCCAGGAGGTCGAAGCTGATTGTGTCACTGCCCTCCCGCCTGGGTGACAGAGTGAGACCCTGTCTCAAAAGGAAAAAAAAAAAAAAAAAAAGAATAAAGATTAATGGAGATTTGGAATATGTTGATACTGTATCTTGGGAATCTAAGCATTGTAGAATTGTATTATGTGAGTGGTACCATTGTGGTGGGAAGTTTTTTATTTTTGGTTTAACTGTGTTGAGTTGCAATTCTTAGAAATGACCCAATGTGTTGTCTTACAAAAGAAATAAACTGTAATCTATATCTTGATCTGATGAGGATATATAAATATAAATAATCTATGTGTACACTTTCTATCTATATGCCTTATGTAATTCACTATATATAATTTATAGCTCAATTGGAAAGAGACAGGCCAAATTGTATGTACCATTGCAAAAAAATCATTATCCCCAGAACTGACTCACAGAAAGCTTTAACAGTAGAGGTGAAAATGAGGTATTAATTTGGAAAAATAATCATGGAGATAATTAATGCAGTGGTTTTATGACTGATTTTTTAAATTAACTTCTATTTTCTTTATATTCTAGTTAATAAAGGTATCCATGGAGAACACTGAAAACTCAGTGGATTCAAAATCCATTAAAAATTCGGAACCGTGAGTATTTCAGTGGAATTCTTTATAATCAGAGAAAGATGGGGGTTTGTACAACAACAAACCTTGAGGAATGGGGCGCTCAGAAAGAGAGTGGTCTCTCTTTCAGGCCAGAGACTAAGCCGACTTACTGCCTCAGATAGTTGTGTGGCTTTGCATAAACTAACTTTTCTTTTCTCAACCTCATCTTTAAAATGGAGCTAAAACTTTCACAGAACTGAAGGGAAGATGAAAGGAAAAACCTATTACCATGGTCAGAAACCTAGTCCTGGAACCAAAAGGACACCACAGGAGAGGCAGAACTCCCAAGTCGGGTGCTTTCTCCCCTCCCAAATCACTCCATAGGATTAGGATTAGAGGTTTTGGGTTTGGGAGGAGTTTTTTGACCTCTTGTTTATGAGTTTTTAAGACGAAAATGCAATGCTAATTTTCAGTCTGGGGAGGAATTGCCTAGTTATGGATGAATTTTACCCTTCTTTTCCTTTGTCTTTTTGGAATATTCTGCTTAATGCTTCCAATAACTAGCAGATAGAAAAAGATAAAACTCAAATTCTCTTTAATTCATGTTTGTTATTATTTATTTGGGAATTCTTATGATACTTTAAATTCTGAAAGTTTATTTCTGAAACCCAGTATTATTATTCTCAGCTGCCCTTGAAATTACAAACTAATTTTATTACTAAACAACATTATTACAGAAATACTATTAACAAGTTACCATTAAAGATTCACAATTTTTGTTTAGCAAAGGAATTTTTCTAGAAAGTAAACTTTTGAAATGCATTCCCATTTTGGAGAGTTGTTTTTTTTTTATTTAAATCATTTTAGCCAGTGTAGGGGCTTGCTCCTATAATCCCAGCTGCTTGGGAGCTGTGGCAGGAGGATTAGTTGAGGTGGAGGGTTTGAAACCAACCAGGGCAACATAATGAGACCCTGTCTCTACAAAAAATAAAAACAGTTAGTCCACCATGGTGTGTGTGCTTGTAGTTAGTCGTAGCTATGCACCAGAGGATATAGTGAACTATAATTGCGCCACTGCACTCTAGCCTGGGCAACAGAGTAAGACCCTGTATCTTTTTTTAAAAAAGTCCTTTAAAAGTGATTTACATATTTTCCTACTACTTTTTTTTCTTTCTTTATTTTTTGAGACAGGGTCTTGCTCTGTCACCCAGGCTAGAGTACAGTGACATGATCATGGCTCACCGCACTCCTGAGCTCCAGTAATCCTCCTGAGTAGCTAGGACTACAGGCATATGCCACCATGCCTGGTTACTTTGTTTTTTATTTTTGTAGAGATGGGGGTTTTGTTGTGTTGCCCAGGCTGGTCTCCAATTCCTGGTCTCAAGGGATCTTCCTCCCTCAGCCTCCCAAAGTGCTGGGATTACAGGCACGAACCACCCTGCATGGCACTGCCTTTTCATGTCATACAGAACATCACTTCAATAACAAGTTGCACGAGAGCCCCAGATAGGTTAGGGTTGTTTTGATCCTGTGATAAGTTGCCCTCGGGCAGTCTAGGCATGTGAGCCAGTGCCTTTATCAGGAGCATCTCCTCTTGGACTAGCTATCTTGTGCTCGTAAAGTACCTACCTCCTTAGGAGGCAGCCAGAGTGAGTAGGGAATGGGCATCAGGATCTGGGAATCATAGTTCCATGATCCATTATCTGTGTGACTTAAAGGTCAAGACACACTTTCAGGATTCAAATTTAATCTGTAAATGTGAGGCTCTTCACCTCTAGTTAAAAATAACAACTCTTTTTTTTTTT